TTATTAGGGGTCTAATTTCTTTGCAGGGAAAAAGAGTAATAATTGCCAAAAATCAAAGAGTACAGAGAATTTTTTTTCTCTCTTTATGGAAAATACTGTAGACATTTGACATCCATGCAGCTTTGGGTCTTCCTAACGTTTTTAAGAGCTCTTTGTTAAGTAACATGAATATAAGAAATATTAAAGAGAACTTAGTTATTTTTTAAAACTGTCCCTAGAGACTAAAGGCCCCTAAGACTCTTTGGAAAATTATTTTCAATTATGGGGAGGTCAGGAGAAAGATGAAAGAAATCACTAGCCAAAATGTTCTGGTGCCTTTAGCTTTTATCTCTCTACTTCTGGGTTTTATTTTGTTTTAGGATGGAGACAGAGATGAAGCTATACGTCTGCTTTCTGCTGAGATCTATAATTTCAATCTTTCCTTCAGATACCTGGTGAAATTGGTGTTCCATTTCCTCAGCTTTAGATCCTACATTTCCTGGTAATTCTTAATGTGAGGCTACTAACCATCAAATGCTAACGATAGGATTGCTGTAAGAGTCAGATTCCACTCCGGGAGATGGCAGTGGGTTAGGTCTTTGGTTTAACCTTAAGGTCAGCAGTTTAAACTCACCTGTTGCTGTGAGAGAAGAAGATGAGGCTGTCTAGTAGATTTACAGTCTAGGAAGCCCTACGAAACAGCTGTGCTCTTTCTAAGAGGGTGGCAGCGAGTTGGAATTGACTTCATGGTGTAATGGGTTGGGTTTAGTGTAGGAAGCCCTATGGAGCAGTCTCTGCCATTCTGAGTTGGATCGACTCTAGTATAAAAAACACTCAACTGGGCAGCACAGAGTGACAACATTTGAATTTATTCATCAGTTTTCATTAACAGGCACAAGCAATATGTTAAATGTTAAAAGTTTAAGTGGCCATTCTGATCTAATTACAAATTGCAAGCTCATTGTTAGTTGCAAAAGGTTGAAGTTGTATACTGATAAGAGTGTTGACAGCGATGCTTCCAGAAGGGAGGCATTACCCTTTGTAATGAAAAGAGAAGATAATTTTAGATCAGAACTTCCTGTCGGGGAAGAGTCAGCACTGGCCTCCTAGCAAGAAAGTATATTATTTTTAAGGCTCTCAAGTGTTAAAGTAAGGACAGTGAGACATTAATGCTTTGAATCTACATTTTCAGCAGAGGTCAGACTGTTTAAATATTATTTCCTATCCTTTGTTTGAAATAGCTACTTGAATGTTGAGTGATACATCATACTGGGGATACTGGGGCAGGGAGACCTTGTTGGAAAATTGACTTTTCCAAAAGATCTGGAAGACTCGCTAGTTGGCCGTTATGTTTGAAGCTTCTTAAATGATAAAATCATCAAGGATTAGAGGACAAAGTAGACAGTAGAGCCCAAGAGAAATTAGCTGAGGCCCAAAATGAATTCTAGGAAGTCTTAAAAGTGCATGAATGAATCACAGCAGTGTAAAATTCAGGAGCTCTTGAGATCAACTGTTGCTAAATGCTGAGTCAGCTCTAACCATAGCTATTGTGTGTACAATAAAATGAAACACTGCTTCCTGGTCCTGCACCATCTTTACAATTGTTATCTTTGAGCCCATTGTTGCAGCTACTGTGTGAAACTATCTTCTCCTTTTGGTTGAGCTTCTACTTTACCAAACAAGTCCTTTTCCAGGTGCTGATCTCACCTGATAACGTGTCCAAAGTCTCACCGTCTTAGCTTCTAAGGAAAATTCTTGCTGCACTTTCTCCAAGACAAATGTAACATTATTGGATATAAGATCTATGACTCTCTGGAGGTTAACTATGGGAAATGTCCACTTCAAAGTTTGAACTTGGAAGTTCATACATTTTTAAAAACTTTTTCTTTCTTAAAAATCATTTTATTGGGGGCTCATACAACTTTTATCACAATCCATGCATCCATCCATTGTCTCAAGCACATTTGTACATTTGTTGCCATCATCATTCTCAAAACATTTGCTTTCTACTTGAGCCCTTGGTATGAGTTCCTAATTTTTTCCCCTCCCTCCCCGCCTTCCCCCATGAACCCTTGATAATTTGTAAATTATTATTATTTTGTCATATCTTACACTATCCGACGTCACCCTTCACCCACTTTTCTGTTGTCCATCCCCCAGGGAGGATGTTATATGTGGATCCTTGTAATCGGTTCCTCCTTTCTATCCCACCTTCCCACCACCCTCCTGGTATCGCCACTCTCACTGCTGGTCCTAAGGGATTCATCTGCCCTGGATTCCCTGTGTTTCCAGTTCCTATCTGTACCAGTGAAACTCCTCTGGTCTAGCCAGATTTGTAAGGTAGAATTTGGATGATGATAGTAGGCGGGGAGGAAGCATTAAAGAACTAGAGGAAAGTTGTATGTTTCATCACTGCTACACTGCACCCTGATTGGCTCTTCTCCTCCCTATGACCGTTCTGTAAGGAGATATCCAGTTGTCTACAGATGGGCTTTGGATCCCCATTCCGCGCTCCCCCTTATTCACAATGATATGATTTGTTCTTTGATGCCTGATACCTGATCCAATCAACACCTTGTGATCACAAGGCTGGTGTGCTTCTTCCATGTGGGCTTTGTTGCTTTTGAGCTAGATGGCCGGAAGTTCATATTTTTATTTTGAACTTGGAAGTTCACTTTTTTTTTTGTAACTAAGAAAATGCACAGTTACTAGGTAAGGAGAGAGTAAAGATGAACTCTGCATCCAAAGAATATTTTTGGTATACATTTTTTCCTTTAATGTAAGTAGAATCATAGAAGGAATCGTGTTGAATATAAACAAAAATGTGTGCTTGAGCAAATTTGTTTTTCTCCTCTAGCAGCTAAGCAAGCAAAGTAGAAATGAGAATAAAACTTAAAGGAAAAGTCATCAATCCTCCTATTATCTCAGAGTAGTAGCATTGTATAGACTACATTGGTGATCTTTCTTATTTATTCAGAATTCTAGGCACTGGCTTTGTTTCTAAAAATCGGTTTATAATTTCCTGATCACCAGTTTGGAATCACCTTAGGCTCAGTTTACTAATGGCTGAATTTTTTGTTTTAGGATTTGTTTGGTGTAAGCATGGTTGTTCCTCTCCTAAGCCTTCACGTCAAGTCTCTCGGAGCAAGTCCGACAGTTGCGGGAATAGTAGGTGCGGGTTTATCATGGCTTCTTTTCAGAGTGCTAAATGAAGAGTTCTAAATGAAGAACCTGAAAACAAATTAGTGTTAACAACTAAATAGCAGACAAAGGTAAATGGGAAATCGAATGAAATGAATTTTTAAACTATCACCCCAGGAAAAAGTAATTCATCTTTTTCTAAGTGACCTTAGTTTAGGGACATCTAAAAGTGGGAACATTATCCCTGAGGTCCATCCCACTAGTCACTCAACAGGTATTTATTAAACTCTGCCAAGGAGCTGGCTGCATATGTGGTAGGGTGAGTCTGGACTCCTCCCTGTAAGAACCTGTAATCTAGTGCATGAGACCAGAGAAACATTATCTATCGAAAATAAATCTAGAGGGAAAGAGCTTAGTTGAGCCTTGACCATTCAGCACCACAATAAATGTGTTTCAGAGATTTATCTGCCTATGTGTCATAAAAATCCCCCCCTAGGGAGTCATTGATTTATGTACAAAGCAGGAGACCCTCGGAGCAAGGCTATGGTAAAACTTGCTAACGCAGGGAATATGGGAATTTAATGAGAAATTAATTAGAAGGGAAATAAAAGATCAACAATCCTTGCCTGTTTTACAAACTCCATCATCTAATGTTTTGGATCCTTTTGGATCTCATGTTTGCTAAGTCCTGGATGTTCAAGCTGTGATTTATTTTTCCCCCGTTGAAAAAGGCGCTTGGTGTCAAAGTGCATCAAAATTTTGATGAATAGCAGGATGGACAGATTACATAATATAATGGCACTAAAAACTCTCTAAAGCTTAGAAGTTCCTTATAACTAAGGCATATTCTAACTAAACTAGAAACTGTTATAGATATATAAAGGGTTAAAATTTTAAGACTTAGTAGAATTTCCCTAAGATTTCTAGGAGATGCATTAGAAATGTTCCAGGTTTCTAGTTTACTTTTCTCTCAATCTTATTAATCATGTGTACACAATCCCTCCCTGGATGAAGTTGCACAATTCTCACACAGTGACAGAAAGGTTACCTCTCAGTGTCCCGAAGTTCAGCCTTGACATTGATTGTCTCTATTTTATTAATTCTCTTGTATTTAATTTGAGTATTTTTTATTAAAAATTGTATTCCTATGCTCTTCCTGCTAAAAGAAAGAAAAACTGGAGGAATGTTCTTTTTGAGCAATGAAATGCGTCCCTAGTCCTTTCTATGTTATGGTGCCCACATTAGTACATCCAACTGATTGCATCTTCTTGATGTTGTTACAGGTTCCACCTATGGCATTTTGCAACTCTTTTCTAGCACATTAGTGGTAAGTCATCTTTCATCTGGCAGCATATCTTGCAAGTATAACTGTGCCAATAATGGCCATTGATCAATGCCGGAGTAAAATTGGCAGCTTGAGGTTTACTAAAACATAGACTGAAAAGTAATATTGAGCATGTCTTTAGATCCAGGAAGACCCTTTAGTCACATACTCTCCTATAACTGGCATGTGTGAAGAACTGGTCAGATGGCTTTGTGATAAATGGCATGGAGGTGGACATGTCACACCGGACCTCTTGCCCTGAGGCAGGGGTCAGATAAGCCTCGATGGTCCATTCTTCTTATTCTGACAACAACCATTCCTTCCATGCCACACTGCATCTCTGCTTGGTGCCATACTTCAGTGCAATAGCCGCACAGGATTCACAATACTCACCATTCAGGGGGGTTATCGTGGAAGTTGGCGCCCTGTGGCACAGTGGTTAGTCATTGGGCTGCTAACCTCGAGGTCAGCAGTATGCAACCACTAGTTCCTCCTATGGAGAAAGACCAGGCTTTCTACTCCTGTAAAGAGTTACAGTCTTGGAAACACAAAAGGGCAGTTCTACCCTGTCCTCTGGGTCACCATGAGTCAGAGTTGCCTGGATGCCAGTGAGTTTGCTTGTTTGGTTTTTATTCGGGAAGTTAGGAGCCCTGGTATGTAGTGGTTACCCAGTGGTCTGCTAACCCCAAGGTCAGCAGTTCAAAACAGCAAGGTACTTATGGGGATAACAAGGCTTTCTGCTCTTGTGTGTTACCTAGAGAAGCGAATCCAGTGATAGTCGTATATGTACAAGAAAGAACTTTAAATCAAGAGGGCATCCCAGCCCTGTGCCACTTCAGTTCATGGGTCTGATGCGAGCCGGAGCCCTCTTCAGACTCACAGAGCTTCAGGCTGATGATGCAGAGAGGTGACGTAAGATACAGGGAGGTCACAGGCCTTTACATGCAGAGTCTCGTGGATCCAAGGTCAGTGGCGACATGTCAGAGTGCCTACAGCTCTCAAAGTCAGGTGGCCAACCCCTGGAGGCAGGCATAGAGCCCCAGCAAGGATGAAACTAAAGAGAGGGAGCTAGGAAAAAAGAAGTCTCCAGTGTCTCTCATTTAAAGGCCACACCTTCCGGGTCACAGGTTGGACTCTACCCCTACATGTTCATATACATTCAAGTTGACATCAAACCTATCACATTTCTGTGAACAGTTACAGTCTCGAAACCCACAGTGGCAGTTCCACCCTGTCCTGTAGGATCATTGAGTCATAATTTGCTATATGGCAGTGCTGGTTTTATTAGGGAAGTTAGTGGGTTACCGCAAATCAGTATCAGTAAATACAAAGAGCACAGTCATTGGTCTTCTCCGGCAGCAGCCAAGTGTCTGGTTGCTGAGAGCCAAGCCTCAGCTACATTGTGCCCAGGCTCTCTCTGGTTCATTGACTCTCAGCCATGTGGTCCCTTGGCTTTCACTCCATGGGCCAGGAAGCCAGCCTACCTGTCACTCTGTCCCAAAGTTCCATAGTTTCAATCCAGATAAATGAGACGTAGCTCATGGTCTTGGTGCTGCTATGTTGCATCTCAGTGTCACAGTCTGTGATGTACATCTGGTTTTGGCAGCCTCTGTTAGGCAGAGATCTTGAACCTGTGCTTCTGCAGTCCTTAGGATTTCTCTCTTCTCTATTGCGGCTTGAAGAATGGCTCATTACAAATGGCTCACGCATATGGTATGAGGGGTGGTTACAAAGACAACCCAGTCTCATCTGTCACCGGTACATGTGCCCGGTCTGCATAGGCCCTCCCAATCATTTGAGGGGAATTGGGTAGAAGAGCTATTATTAAGAAATTTCACTCCATCACAGACTTGTTCCTATAGAACACATTGAGTTAGAGTTAAATTTGAGAATATTATCCTTTATTATTATTATTATTATTATTGCAACACACTTTTCCCTTGATTGCCTGATAACTTTTCCTAAGAGAAAAGACTTTAAATGAAATGACTGCAATTTTTATTGTTTCGGTTCATGGGAAATGAATCCATTCAGGTTTTGAGGATACTATTTGACAGTCTTCTTGAGTAATGTGCTTTCTGCATTAGAAAATGAGAATGCAGGTACAAAAGCACCCATTTGGAGTAGCTGATTAGGCAGGATGTGCACTATAAAGACCTAGAATTGATCTTAGTCTCCTACTTCAAACTTCTTCCAAACCTCTTCCAAACGTGTCCCTGCCGTCCTGCCAGTTCCAACTCTTGGGGACCCTACAGGACTAGATAGGGGAGTAGAAAGCCTCAGAGTTCCATTCCGCTGAACCAGCCTCTTCTTTGAAATTCAAAGTCCTGGAGGAGCTCTGTCACTCGCTCGGCAGTGCTGGGCTCCGGGCACCCTGCTCTGGAGGGGCTGGGAGACCAGAAGGTCCCGTGGATCAGGCCATTCAGAGGCAGCAGTCAGTTTGATCATTGTGCTTGCAAAATAGTGACCGTCCTTAACACATTTAGTCACAAGAGCTGCTCGTAAAATATTTTTAAGAATTAAATTCATTTCTGCTTTAAATACGCAAAGAGATTTTATGTCAATTTTAAGATACGTAAATTAAAAAAATTATATCAAGCCTATTCTGACTGGTGGCATCATGTGTCTCAGAGTAGAACTCTGCTCCATATGTTTTAAGTGGCTAATTGTTGAGAAGTAGATTGCTAGGTATCTCGTCCAAGGCACCTTCTGGTGGACTAGAACCTCCAACCGTTGGGTAGTTCTGGAACATTCTATTTGCACACTCAGAGACTCCCAAATAAGTAAACAGCTACTCAATAGTTTATCTTATGGGGGAAAAAATCTTCCATGTGTTACATTTGTATAATAACTGTAGTAAAAATACTCTTTATTTAAATGTTTTGACAAAAATCCAGGAAAGTGCTTTGGTATTTCCATTGTCTTTCAGAAAAAGTTGAACTTCACACTGTTGCATACTTGACAAAGTCACCTAGTCCTGGTATCTTCAATCCAAATGATTTTCTTCCTAAAGGTCATTTCTACTGCCTTGATGGTCTAACCAGTTAACAAGGAAGTAGATAACTAGGGTTTAAGAGAATACAAAACAGTAAAGTACTTCCTTTTAGTAAAATATGTAAGATTTCATTTTCTTGTAAAAGAAAAAGGTGAACTATACCGTAAATGCCTTATTTGGAAGCGTGTTAAATATGTACATATATTATCTGTATCGTATGTATGTATTCTGTATGTATGTATTTTTGACTCTGATCTGCTTGCTACTAGAGATCACATTTCATTTATTTATTTTTATTTTAAAAAATCATTTTACTGGGGGCTCGTACAACTGTTATCACAATCCATACATATATCCATTGTGTGAAGCACATTTGTACATTTATTGCCCTCCTCAAAATATTTGCTTTCTACTTGAGCCCTTGGCATTTATTTATTTATTAATCATTTTATTGGGGGCTCATACAACTCTTATTACAATCCATACAAAATCCATTGTGTGAAGCACATTTGTACATTTGTTGCCATCATCAGTCTCAAAACATTGTCTTTCTACTTGAGCCCTTGGTATCATCAGTTCCTCATTTTTCCCCTCCCTCCTTCACAAACCCTTGATAATTTATAAATTGTTATTATTTTGTCATGTCTTACACTGCCCGACGCCTCCCTACATGCACTTTTCTGCTGTCCGTCCCCCAGGGAAGGGATCATATGTAGATCCTTGTCATCGGTTCCCCCTTTCCACCCCACAGCTGCTGAAGCACCTGGCCCATAGTTAGTATGTTATGATGCAAACTGTTGCTAAATGTGGTCCAACCTTCTCTTTCAAACGGATCCTTTGTTTTGTTATGTTTATGCTATGAAACATTTCATATATTTTATAGGTATGATTTAATGAGAACCTCCCTCTAGAACGTCTTTAGATAAATTAAAATTCCTTGTTGGCCAATTTTGTTATGAGTTCTTTGATGATCATTTTTATGGAAACCTTAACTGTAAGAAGGTAATTGAAGAAGAGGCGGCGTGTTAGGGTAGATTTGACAGATGCTCTTGTAGTATGTGTGTGGCAATAAAAGGCTGACATTCTCAAGGGCTGACTGTGTCCCAGGCTGGTCTCAGCACTTGCTTTTAATTCAGTCCTCTTCAGAACCAGCCTCAGGGAGGGGAACGGTAAGGCTTTACTGATTCATCTTCTGAAAGTACTTAGTGAGTATGGGTAGAGAAGAAACCATGTCAGAGGCACATGCTATGATTGTTCTTCCAGATAAATAACCTCGGGCAACATGTGAAGGAATAGGTGTGAGGCCATAGTATCACACTCGTGTCAGAGTTGAGCCCAGCAGCCTGGCCCCGATTGAAACGCTAGACTGGATCACTGCCTGGGGAGCACTCGGAGGCCACCCGCCCTGTCCCACAGGGAAAGAGTGTGGCGATTTTCTGCAATCCATTGACATGACATTTTGTGGGCAAAGTTGAGGGCATTTGAAAACGAACCACAGTATTTTACAAACATGAACCCTACACAAGGTTGTTATTGGCATAAAAGCGGACTATGCCAATTTATAGCCTGATTTAAAGAGATCTTTTAGATCAGCGGTTCTCAACCTGTGGGTCGAATGACCCTTTCACAGGGGTTGTCTGATTCATCACGGTAGCAAAATGACACCTACGAAGCAGCAATGAACATAATGTGATGGTTGGGGGGTCACTACCACAGGAACTGGATGAAAGGGTCGTGGCATGAGAAAGGTTGAGAACCCCTGCTTTCGAGCCTTAAGAAAAAGGTAAGCACGGCAATAAAAATGGGTAAAAGGCAGAAACGTGGAGCTGCTGCTTGTCAAAGAAGAAAGTCCGTTCAGATGATGGACTTAATTGGAGAGGGTGGAGCAAGGTTCCGTCAACAGTGGAGGAATGAGGGGAGCAGTTTGGACCTGCTCCCGGCAGGCCTCGTGGACGCCAGGAGTTGTCCAGGAGCACGGTCCTGCCCAGAGATGCTCCGGCATTTTATTTTAAGAAAGCCCTGAACATATGAACCTAGTCAGTGTGGAGATGCGCAGAACCAAAGATTCCCACACTTAAATTTGGCCTACTGCCCCTTTCTCAGGGAAAAAACAAACAAAATTTACTCAGCATTCTCCTGGCAGTTAAAAAGTTTTCTACAATAGCCCATCATAAAGTACAGGTATTCTCATTTACTGACTTCTGCATTGTTTCAGCACCCCCTGGCACAGGGTGAGGGTGGAGGTAATCTCCCACTTTGGGAAACACTGTTCTGGATGGATGGAACATGCCAGTCAAGCCCTTGTCCCTCTGCATTTACCAGGCCAACTGGCAAAGTATGAAGAGGACCAGTCCAGCAAGCTGCAGGCTCCCCTCCCCAACAGGCCAGGTCACTGTGGAGTCCCACGACCTAGGTTCCTGCTGTGACTTGGCTCATCTCTCCTCAGCGCAGTGCAAAGATTCTGAGCAGAGAGAAGAAAATGAAGCACAAGAGGCTCTTGGCCACCACCTTTCCCCACCTTTAAACACATGCTCCCTTTCTCGGTGCTTCTTAGTTGCGTCTTGATAGGCCTGCAAGCGACACTTGTGGCGAGCTCGGCATGTTGCTGTGGGGTCTCCACCCCCAAAACCATACTCTCTGCAATAGAGCCCATCGTGATGGACAGTCAAACCACCCCTGTACCTTTCTCAAACTAACTCTTTGTGGGAGTAGAAAGCCTCGTCTTTCTCGCAAGGAGTGGCTGGTGCTTTCAAACTACTGACCTTATAGTTAGCACCCCAGCTTGTAACCACTGCACCACCAAGGCTTCTCGATGGGGTGCTGAGAGTATGTAAACAAATAGCGACTGATGAGTCAGAAGCTGGAAGGGGGGCTCAGAAGTTCAGGGCGTTCCGCCGTCCTTTATCTCATGAGCTAGCCACGCTCCACCTCTCGGCCATGTTGGGATTCCTTGTAGCACTCAGTGCCTTTCTCTGCCCTCTCTCTTCCTCCGGCCTCTGCTTGGATCCCTCTCTGTTCTGTAGGGTTGTTCCAAGTCAGCACCGACTGGGAAACACATCCACCGCACACACGTTTTACAGTAGAGCACAGTGTGGCCACTTCATTCAAAACGTGTGCAGGTTAGAGGGTGCTTTAGCAGATTTTTTTGTTTCAATATATGTTTTAGATTGAGCCCTGGTAGCATAGTGGTTACGAGTTGGGCTGTGAACTTCAAAGGCAGCA